TAAGCTAAGCTAAATGTATGCTTTATTAAGATGTATTAACACGCAATACTAATCAATGCTAATCATAATGTTACAATCTTCTGAAGTTATGATTCATAGTTGTCACAAACAGCATTGCTGGCTCCAGGATACTCCTGATCCAATCCAATAGAAGTCTTTATTAAGCCTGCTTTGCATTCTTCACCAAAAGTCGCTCGAAACATCTCTAGAGTGAATGTAATACGCTGAAAACAGAGATTTTAGGGAATGAACGATCATTGTGGTTATAAATATGCTGTTATGAAATAACAGCCTAGGTCAAAGAAAAAATTGTCATTAATCAGAAAATTTATGCTTGAGCGAAGATTGTTTGAGATGTGATGCTTAGAAATGCAATCTTAGATCAAACGTGCTAGATCACCTTTGAATCCCTACAAACAATCAGCAAATAATTCAAAACAAACAAAAAACGGCCCATTAAATGGTACAGAATTTGAACGGGCAGCATTTCTCACGTTGACAAGTTTGATATGTTGATTCGTGCAACCAGAAAGTTGGCGAGAGCTTAGCTGGCACCAGTTATCTGCAGCCATCTACATATGAAAAGTGTAATCAAAAACTTCCTCAATATAATCAGAACTCTTATGTCTCCATCCACAGACTCATTTCACCTTACTTAAGGGACTGCTTTAAAAAAAAGTTTACGTGTGTGAACCATTAGTAGCTCTCTAAGTAAGTAGCTATTCGGATACATGCATACAATTTCATTTCCTAAATTTTACTCTGAAGTTTTCTGCCCTAGTACACGCATTTTTTATTTGTTTTTCGAGAGAAAGTCTTGTTAAGCTTAGCAACTCTGCCCTACAGTCAAGTTTGAGCATTTTCCCTATCATGCCGATGGAAAAACTGCGAAATGACCCCTTATTTGCAACAAGATGCTAAAATCGTTTTTTTAACCTTTTAAAGAATCTTTTCTTAACTGCTCACATCGCAATGAATGAGGTCTCGATGACAGTACTGAAGAACGACATCCCCAGCTCCCTTTCCTCCTGTTGTCCGACCTTTCCTGAAATTCGTTATCGTTAAGCAAGGACCGGCAGAGCAATCCATTCAGTAATCAAACGCACTTAGACACACCACTATATTTATTCCCAAAGAAGATCAAGGAGAAACGACTGAATGCTGAAAAAAAGCTACCCCGCTGCAAACAGTTTCTCAGGGTCTTTAACATGGTCCCGTCTTGAATCGGCAACGCGTTTGACGCTTTGCGCTGGACAAGCGGTTGATTAATTTTGTTGCCTTAGGTGATACAAGTTAAAATAAGAATTATAGTGTCATAACATGGACTATGCAGAACGTTTCGAGGCAGCAAAGGAATTAGAGAGATATGATACGATAGGGCAACTTATGGGTGAGTGTATAGTACAAATCAGTAGCTCCACATGTTTGCACCATCTAGGTCTGGACCCGGGTGTATATGTCCCAGCCAATCCAGATATGATCATCGAGCACGAGGAAGAAGTCTACTCTATAGATGAAGAACGTTTCGATGAAGATGGTGGCGCAGACGTGGATATGGACTACGGCTTGGAACAGGAAGAGCAAGATGGACAAGAAGAAGAAGAAGAGAGAAAAAATCCATTCCGTGATTTTCTTATCGACATGGTGGACACTGGCAAAGCAACGAATAGGTGGAAAATTATGCGTTCTTACTTTAATCTTTATTTCAAGGTGAGCCTCTATTTGGATCACTTCACGAAAGGAATAGGCAGAAAAGTATTAGATTCTTTTTTGTTCAGAATATCGTCGAGAAACCGGATATACTCCGTATGTACTTCCCTAATGATAGTTTGACGGAGGAACAGGAACAAGAATATGTGAAGTTCTTTGTATCTTTGCAAAACAAACTGCGGAGATTACAGAAGTTCCCAAATTCAATTCGCAGGTGCGTCCTTTTAAGGATTAATTCACACACCTGCAGTCATCTCTTTGGGCTAAGTATCATGAGGCATATAGAGCAACAAGGAATCACTCAT